TGTGTGGTGCTATACATGAATAGGCGACAACATAGAGTAAACCATAGAAAGGACGGTAGATAGGTGATACAGAAGTGAAACATGAAATGAACTCTACATCTCGTTGTTGATGAAAGCAGAAGAGAAAGGTGCTAATTCAGGACGAGATCGTAGGTATAGAGCGCTCCCATAAGAAATGTTTAGCCAAGAACATATCAAAAGGGTCCTGATTGGAGAGTTGCATAAATCAGGGTCTTCGGCAGCATCTGCAAGATATTCGTAGAGAAGAAGCTCTGGATCCAGAAAGCCCTCCGACTCATTAATGAGACTCCAGACATTTGGGTCTTCAGCAGCCTCTGCGAGGATGGTCTCTGGCAACAGAGACGACGGAGGCTGTGGAGCGTAATGGGTCGTGCTCCCTGGAAAAGAACTCGATAGGAAGGGTTGATCGTACGAGAGGGGTGCAGATTGGTGTTGTGGGGGAGGAGTAGCCGCGGCTATTGGTGGGTATGAACCAACATGGGTAGCACGCGGGACATCGGCTACCTCAGATGGATAATAGCCATCTTGTGTCGGGACCGAATCATGTGCAACTCCAGGACCCACACTCGGCGAAGGCGTGACGGGCCTGAACGGGAGAGAGGCGGCGTGCGTTTGTATTGCAGTGGAAACATCGGAACTGTTCGATGAGGTGTGGGGGATGGACTGGGTCATCTGGAGGTAAGAAGTAAATACGTGTAGAAAACGTAGGTATCGAAGCTTGAGATACACGTACCTGGTCTATCAGATAATTGATGGAAATGTTATGAGGATGTGTACGTGTTCGCAGCGGAAGTAGGTACAGTTGGTAAGGATAGAGGTTGAAGATCACTGAAACAGTATTTATATGGTTGTCGCATACCGCTTTGAAAGTGTCCCCAAGTTGTGGTTTCACCGTGGGGACGTTCCTTTCGCAGAGTTTCTTGTGGACAACCATTGTTCGTTAGATGAGACAGTGGTCTTTTTGCTTGGTGCGCTCAGCTTTGTATCCATATTTGAGTTGTTTATTGTTGTTGCAAGTCCGCAATGCAAAGACGAGAGCCGCGCTGTGGATACGTTGTGGATGTTCGTTCCCTGCTGAGGCTAACAATCAGATGGGAGCACCACAACTTATGTCTCTGGCTCCGCGAACAGTTAAATAATCGTTGTATTGCGCGGTCCAACGTAATGGCATACGACGCCGCAATGAGATGGGATCAACTTCATGATTGTGTAGAAGCGAGATTAACGACTAGCATAGCTGTCATTGCTCACCCACCGTGCAGTCCTCACGATCGCCTAGTGCCATTGAACCGCTGAATAAGTACTCGATAGAAGCCTTCGAGGATGGCGGTCAGTAAACTGCGACCACCACTAGATAAATTTAGTTCCTCTCGTCTTGACTCTTGAGCTTCTGCAATGCCATTTTACTTAGACGCAATCGGGACTGAGCAAGTTAAAACTTGAAGTAAAGGATGGCCCAAATGATTTGAATATGGGAACGAAGTTATTCCGGCCACCTTTAGGTAGAAGGTCTTTCTCGGAGGACATCTCTTGAATGGCCGGTTCGGGACGGAGTATGGGCCTCGACAGGCATATTGGCACCTCCAAGCGGAATATGAAAGTCGCTGTGTGTACAGTGAAGCTCGTCACTGTTTCTCACACATGCTCGCTAGCACTGTCTGGACCTAGCCTTAATCCCACTTATACCGTGGTTTTACTATATTCAATATGTCATTATAGACTGTGTCAATTTACAATCAATTAATCAACCGACTACAGTCACAATGAGGACATACCCTTGCCATCGACTTGACCAAGTTGCTGTTCAGGTCGCTGCGAGTCTGCGATAGAATGGCAACGCTGCAGCCTGCACAATCAAGAACGATGCTAACTGCCGAAAGACGCAGAGAAGCCGGTAAGAAAGGCCAATATCTGCCTGATGCATCGAAGACATCACAGTTGTTATCACCAGGCAGCGAGCGGTCCTAGGTGGGTAAGGTGATGGACGGGCAGAGTTGAGGTAGAGCATGAACTTGCAGCACTCGAATATTAATGGCCGGATGTTCGAACGTTCAACGTTCAACGTTAACGTTCAACTTAAGCAACAGCGGCAGGCGGGCGTGGCTTGGGCATGGCCGTTGGAAACATCGAGCGAGGTTTGAAAGTCCGCCGAGAGTGCAGTTGGCTGTCAAAAAATTTCCGGACATCCTCATACGAGTCTACCTGTTAACCCTGACTGTAATACCCCACTTCATGCAATGCCACTACGACAGGCTCCCCACAAACCCTGCATTTTGTGCTCATGTTTGTACTCAGCCGATGGAGCCGTACCCCCAAATAATACCATCGTTACTAGCGCTATTGGGGCCGCAACGGGCCTGGTTTCCGTGATAAACATACATTCTCTGCGGCTCAGCTCGACAACTGGTGTTTTGAGATGGCGAATATGCGATAGAATGAGTCACAGAGCTTTTACTAACCAACTATCGTGATTGCCTTCTACATGGTAGTTTTTCCTCATCACCATCAACCAGACTCGCGGTTACCTCTCGATTATTCGGAGAGGGTGACCAATACAAGACCAATGAGGAAAAAGATAGGTCGCGACAATATATACAGCCGTAACAAGTGGATATATCCTAGCTAACGCACGATGATGCTACATCGGCACACGGAAAAGTGGATCCGGACCAACTGTCAACCAAGTATGTGGGGAGCCAGTGTGCGGGCATGTAAAACCGGTGTCATTTGTAGTTTTCAATCAGTCAAATGTCATGGAGATAACCACCGTGACAAACAGACGATAAGGTGTTTACAGAAAATCATCCCTGGCCTGGGAATAACCTGAACACCTCACAAGGCCATACCAACAAAGGGTGAGGAATAATATCGTTCATAGATAAGGAAAGGAATAGCGTCCGTACATGAAAAACATCTCCTCTCTGCCTCCTTCAAGATACTTTGTCCCTGCTGTCACGGAAACGGAACCATGCGAGCCAAGTGCGTATCGTCAAGACAGAAGGTGAACGCATTGCCCGGTTGTGCAGTTGCATTCGGGCTGGACACGCAATTGACATAAGTTCAGAACAGTATGCGATTCAAGATTGGAGCCACTCAAGATCGACAGATAACGACTTTGCGATTATAACCGTGTACATTGAGCCAGAGATCGTTTCCTAATCGATGCGATAGTTGCCTTGGGGTTGTGAACAAGAACAATAGTTGACGGACACGGTATAAGTTCTGGCCTAGCCTAGGGTCATTGAAAAATCGGAGCATTTCATGATTCTCACGCCAATCACACGCAAAAAAAAACTGCTAACTCTGAATCTGCCAGCGGGCATGCGCCAGGACTCGGAGAGGACATGAATTGTCGACTCGAAGAAATCATTCATCATATTCCTATCATCCTACCAATATTATATATGTAGGGTGCGACGAGACCGTGACCCTGTTCCACGGAAAATTTTGAATAGCCATCCGCCGGTGCTCTCATCCGTTCCAACACCTACTATGTACTAGTGCGGCGGCGCTAATCTGCAAACAAGGTGTTCTGATCAGGGTCTTCATACCAGATCCTTGGGCCCTACAATCCTACAGGCACTTTTATCAGCCTCTCGCATGCATTACCATGCAACGATCACTCTGCGGCACTATCATCAGAGTATCTGCTGCTGGGTGATTTTTGGTGCCAAGTACGGTTTCGCACATGGCTTCTGCACGGTGGGTGTTAAAATGCTCACCTGGATGTAATGAGTTTTGAGCTGGAGATTCCGCTGACGCAGTAATCGCGAACAGAACCTCCCATGTATCGATGACCATCGAACGTCTGCTTTAAATCTGCATCATATCACAATGAACTCGTTACTGATTATGATACTGAAATAGCTGACGCATCACAGGCTGGTGACTAGCTGACGTACGCCGTCATACTAAGCATGCCGAAGGTGATTTAGACTGTCAGACATACGAACAAACGCATTGACACCACATTCGCCAATCGTGCAATTCCACATCTTCATCGTCCATCGATAATTTCTGGGTTTGCAGGATATGGTATCGAAAAACACGTAAGTTGCACGTTTTTACTGATCTTCAAACCAACCTTGGTGCCCAGGAATGGAACACATTGCATGGTTTGAATTGCGATGAACCTTCTTACGATCAAGATGCGTAGAGAAAGCTGATCAACAAACTAAGGTACGGGCGGGAGTAACTCTGGAATCGTTGTCTCGCAAGCTAACACGTTTGGCTGTGGGCTATCAGAAGAATTCCAATGACTGGAACTTCTCCTGACAACACACAGCCAGAGAACGTTCTGGAAGGCATGATGTGTTTTCAAGCGACACTCCTGTATCACTCTCATTTACCTTTACCATTTGTAGGATATCCTGCTGAAAGGAGCCCTAGGAACGGGCAGAAAGACAGTTGCCCGTGCGATCAAGGCCTGGGGTGCGCCCCTTTCTGTACGAAGCGAGGTAGCAGGTTTTTTTGCGCTCCGTGAGATGCATGCACCCGACTGGGCGCACGAGGAACCAAGTTCTCCAGAACACGGTGAATATGTGCCTGTTTGAAATATCTGCTTGCTGTCTTGTATATTGTATATATATATGGCTCATTAGATCTGACATTCCAATTGTAACCATAATGTACTTATCATCATGCATATGAATACCTATGGCATGCAAGAGACGGAGGACTTCGTTATCGATCATAATTAGCTTATTGCTTATATAGTATACAGCAGGATTCTGGAAGGGCACAACGTATCATTCCGTACAAGCCCGCGGCGTGAATGTGACTAATAGAATATCTGAAACTTGAAATGCTCGAGCGATAGTGAGTACCATTCTAGTGTTTTAAGTGGACTTGGTATCAGTGTAAACTAGAAACGTGACTTGCACTAGAACTGCTAAGGTGCGTGCCGCACCTGCGATGGCCACTTTGATTGATCTCTGATCTCAGCAAGGACTCTAATTTCTCATTAATATTAGGTGTCTAAGCCACAATGCATGAGGCTGCTCGCCCTCGACCTTCCATTTATGTGTGAATGAAGTCCTATGGAAGGTGAGTGTTATATTACAAAGTGCAGTGCTGCTACTCCTCCTTCATTGGCGCATTTCCTGACATGTAACGTTTCCGGGTCATGATCAGCGTCCTGATCCGCATGTTACTGTCCTTCATCGATGCATCGGGAGTGCAGTATTCTTGAAGATTTAACAGATACGCAGGCTTCGATAGGGCCGATAGGCGGACGAAAAGGAAGGATATCCATTCCAATGATGCGCATGGACGGCCCATGTAACTTGACGTCATTTCTAGATGCCGGGACGAAGGACGTGATCGACCACGTATCAGTATCCAAAAATACTACGAGACTTTTCCACCAGACATTTCACAACGAGAGGTTGGGATGGAACCGCAGATTGTAAATTATGGAAGTCGCCGGGTAGCCTAAATCGAAGGTGGAAACTAGGATGATGATGAATAGGTAAGTGTCCGTGATCTGACAGTGATAGCACATATGAGATTGTTATGGAGCTTGTACCTTTTGTCAGTATCCACGCAGCGATTCTTGCAACCGTTAGAATGTTCCGGTCACCAACAGCAGGAGTTCCTTATTGCTGTTGCATCAACAATACTCCAGCTAAGATTTGAGTAGTACGTACGTGTATATAGTCTCGGACATGCTTCACAACGTTATTCAGCACTGAGTTAGTGAGGGAAGGTTATTCAAGGAGAACGTGCACTAACAGTGGGAGAGCTAAGGCGTAAAACAATATATGAGAAATCAGACACCCCGTAGTCCATTCTCACATGCCTGAGAGCCTAGCTTTGAGCAAGCACACAAGGCTCGAGGTTAGATTAAGCTACTATATGAATTGAGTCGACCTCTTAGAAACCGCCTTAGATAGCGCTTGAAAACTACTCACCGGGAAGTCTATGTCAAGACATTGTAGCTGGTGATGTTAGTTGCTGTGTGATGTCCAATGTCGAAATTGGCACAATGTGGCATCCCGTTCGACAAGTAATGAAGATCACTGCGGGCCGGGATACCTCACGCATCATCATGATGTTATGAAGGTCAGACTAGAGGCTAAATATTGAGCTGCAGAAACGAATAGGTAGCGTACATTGCAAACAGAGGTGGCGAGTTGTGTGGTATCAATATCGTACATCAAAGACGGCTCAAAATACATCAGAGAGAGCAGGTAAAGCACATCAACAACAAGAATCCATCGAGATATGAAGGCATGCGACTCGTGAAGGATGAGGAGATTTAATGATGGCCGTCTGTATATTCAGGAGAGAGACAACAGAGAAAGAGCCAGAAACGAGTCCAGAGTCCAGCCCGTCTTATCATTGCATCTGGGCGCGAGGTTGTTGAGGTCGTGGCTATGCCAGTAGCATCGCCAACGGGAGGTGTGGTGGATGAACCAGCCTGTGGTTGCGAATATGACTGGGTCACATTGGGCTTTGGAGGCTGTGAGCCAGTGGCAGTAGGGATCTTCGGAGGAAATAATTTTTTTCGTCTCTCCCTCGCGCAAGCATTTCTCTACGTGAAATTAAGTGGTGTAGGACGATCAAGGAAGAGAAGGAACATACACGTTGTCCCGGCGCACATGGGACCTCGACGACTGCGGGACTGGGTTGTCTGCGCCGTTTCAAAATGTTTCGAGCCCGGTCGAGAGGAGAGGACAGTGGTGTAGCACGACCACTAGAGGGGCTGGGGTTGCGATGGAATAGACGGCTGAGAAGCGTGCTACCTGGTGATGCTGAGGAGCTTTGTGCAGAGGACTGAGAACATGCCAGAGGTCAGTAAAACGAAATCGAATTGATAGCGAATCGTGATGACATACATGAGAACGATTTGGTGCAACTCCGTCGAAAAAACCTTGGGGTAGCCAATAAGCAGGCGGACGTCGTTGAACTGGAGGTTGTTTAGCACTAGTCTAGAGCGCATATATTGAGAACAACGAAATCTTTTTATGAAGGTGTCACATACATGGAGTACCGGCTGGTTGGCCTGACAGAGCGCGTTCAGTTGTGAGGATATACATTAAGACGTGCACATCAACTCACCTTTGAATTCAAAAGTAGATCAACATCCCATGTGTACGCGTTTGCATCGCTGCAGCCAGTGGCTAGTAGCTTTCCATCTTCCGAAAACGATACGGAGTCAACCCGGTATGCGTGCTGAAGGGGCGGGCCGATGGGTTGTCCATTGTCGAGGTTCCACAATAGCACTGTCTGGTCGTGTGATGCGCTTGCGAGGATGCGGTCATTTGGTGATATTCCCTATCCATTTAGTGATGACCTTGCCTGTGTCAATATCCCACAACCTCACTGCACCATCTGAACTCCCGCTAACCACTTTCTTCCCGTCCGGAGACAACGTTATACACTCCACTCCACCTTCTCCGTCTGTCCAGTCTTCTCCTATCTGCTTCCCGCTCTTCAAGTTCCACACTCGGAGCGAGCTGTCATGTGAACAAGTGATGATTCGCTGTCCACCTGGCAGGTGTATGATGCCTAGCACACTTTTAGTGTGTCCCTTGAATTCTTGGTGGAGTGTTATTGCTGATGTCTCTTTCGTTTTAGCAGTGGACGAAGCCATATTCCAGAATTTTCACTACAGTACAATGTCGTCTCAGCTTTCATCGATCAATTTTCAGAATAATCACTTACAAGGATTTCTCAGCAGCGATAGGCAGGCAGCGGGGACTCGAATGATGGTTCTGGTGGTCAAGTCAGAACTAAATCCACTGCTTCCTGGCACGTTTTTGTACATGCTGTAGTCTGGTGTTCGCTTCACAGCCTATATACAGCATAGGCTGCGCACCTAAAGTGCCTAATCATCCACATGATCACCTAGTTCTCAATGAAAGCCGGCTCAAAATACATCAGAGAGAGTGAATAGAGCACATCAACAAGAATCCATCGAGAGATATAAAGGCATGCCACTGGTGAAAAATAAGAAATCTAATGATGACCATCTGTATTCAGAGACAGCCGGGAAAGAGCCAGAAGCGAGTCCAAAGTGCAGCCTGTCTTATCGTTGCATCTGGACGCGAGATCGTTGAGGTCGTGACTAAGCCAGTAACATCGTCAACGGGAGGTGTGGTGGATAAACCAGAGATCGCAGCCTGTGGTTGCGAAGATAACTGGGTCACATTGGGCTTTGAAGGCCGTGAGTTACTTGCGGTAGGGATCTTCGGAGGAAATATTCTCCCTCGTGCAAGCATTTCTCTGAATGAGATTAGCTGGAGTAGGACGGTCAAGGATGAGAAGAACATACACGTTTTCCGTGCGCATATGGGACCTCGACAACTGCAGGACTGGGTCCTTGAAATCCAATGCCTTCACCTCTTTGTCTGCGCCGTTTCAAAATGTTTCGAGGTCGAGAGGAGAGGACAGTGATGTAGCACGAGCGCTGGAGGGGCTGCGGTTGTGGTGGAATAAACGGCCGACAAGTGTGCTGCCAGGCGATACTGAGGAGCCAGCGCGCCTTCGTGTAGAGGAGTCAGGACTGAGAACGTCAGGAAAACAAAATCGGATTGATAGTGAATCATGATGACATACATGGGAACGATTTGGTGGAACTCCGTCGAAAAAAACTTGGGGTACCCGATAAGCAGGCGGACGTCGTTGATTCAGAGGTTGTGTAGCACTAGTCTAGCGCATATATGATGAGAACAATAAGATCTTTTGATGAAGGTGTCACGTACATAGAGTGCCAACTTGCTGGCCTGGCAGAGCGCGTTCAGTTGTGAAAATATACAATGAGATATGCATATCAACTCACCTTTGAATTCGAAAGTAGGTCGTCGAGGCCAGCTTCTCGAACAATTGTAGCAGCATCCCATGTGTACGTGTTTTTGTCGCGGCAGCCAGTGGCTAGTAGTTTTCCATCTTCCGAAAACGATACGGAGTGAACCAAGTTTGCGTGCTGGAGAGGCAAGCCGATGATTTTTCCATTGTCGAGGTTCTACACTGTATTGTCGTACAATGCGCTTGCGAGGATTCGGATATTGCAATGGCCCAGACCACTGGTTGGTGTGCGCTTCCAGTAATGTGGTTTGCTTGTCTTCCGCGGGCCGGCCCGGGTAACGACATCCTCACACCTGTACCCTGAGACGGGTCCAGGAATTACTGTGAATGTCTGTCCAAAGTCCGTCCCATTGTGTACTTTCAACATCTGCTGAGTCTTTTGGATCTCGGTTGTTTGTCTAGGCGGCAGCAACATTTCAAGTTGTCCTTTCTCGAAATTACCAACACAGTAAATGCATTTCTCGACAAATGTATGCGCAATACTAGTATTCGTACAGGTATCCTAATGAATTGTATGTATCTGTCAAAACTTTTTGTATCCATCGTATGCAGAGTAGTACTCTATAGAGGACCATGTAAGGGACACCTGTGTCCCTGCCGCACTTCCAGGCCCGTAAATGCCTTGGCGCAGGAAGTCCTCCGCCAGTCTACCGTTCCTGCAAGCTGCTAAATGCTAAAACTTCAGAGACATCATGTAGGTACAAGGTCAATCCATAAACTCATAAAAAATACAAATCCCACAGAGGTAGAGCAAGCCAAAGCCAACCCGCCCCACCAAGCAGTTTCAGTTAAACCCAAGTCTAAACTGTCAGTCATAACGATGTTATATGCATGCTGGACCCCTCTCCCCAACGCGCTCGAGTTGCAGTAACAATTATCATAGACATCCGCAAACTGCAGCATACTGGCCGTGATTAACCAGACTGCGTTGACGGTTGCCAAGAATTTCCCACTCCATCTCAAAAGGTCTGATAGGACCTTTGCGAGACGCATTGTGATAGAAAAGAAAGGACTCCAGCTGGATCTGGCCGAGTATAAATATGTGTAATGCGAAATGATGCTCGATGTGACAAGCATTGCCCAGACTATCGTAGCCAGTGCACCGTAGAGGATATAACCAAGAGATCTACAACCAAGGCCCTGTCGTGTGCCGTTGTCAACGATATGTACAGGTATATGAATCAAATGGTGCTTACCATAGTCGGAGTAAAATACACAACCATTACCGCAGCTCCCGTTGTTGCCCATTGCAAAGCCATGGACAGGAGCCACGCCATGAACATGCGGAAGAATATCCCTGACGCCCAGGGGCTCCGTACTCCGTATCTAGGTGCTGCGTATCGAGGAAGTCTACAGTAAGCATTGACTTCGGACGGGTTTCCAGACCTGTTACTGGACTCAATAACGTTCTTCCCGCCCGCGTTCTTCCATATATCACCCGTCTTGACTGGTCTATGCATTCTGGAATTGTTGGAGGCCATTAGAAAAGCATCGAAGATATCCTCCGCCGACCGGGACCATGGGATGGCCCTGGCATAGTTGTAGATAGGTGGAATTAAGCTTTCGTCAGGAGACGAAGAGTGTTCTAAAGTGGAATCAATGGATATTGCTCGTCTTTCGGAAAGGTCTGATGCCTTTATAACTCCATGATAGGTCGCTACAAATGCCATTGCATCTGCATTGTCCATGGCCCGTTTAATGCGCACATAGTCACACTTTGGGGATAGCTGCAGCCAACCTATCACGATTGGTATGAGCCATAACCAAATCGACCCCGCGCCTTGACCGTTAGAGTTAAGATTGCCGTTGATATCCGATATTGAACCGATGAATGCCAACAGGTATGTAACAGTAACCCAAGCGATAGATGTTGCAGATGCGATGGACCAGGTGAGAGTATAATCGAGGGAGTCGGCAACTTTCGGCCACCAGTCATCATTCTCTGGCAGGACAATGAGGGAACTGAGCAGCGAGTCTTCGTTTGTTATTTTCAGTGGAGTTTGCTGAAGGCTTATGAGGATGCGGACGGCGTGTTTGGCATTGGGAAAGGACACATTCTCAAATCGACGGCTGATCCACCGAGCATTGAGAATAGTGAGAATCATCGAGTAACCGGCGAGCAACGGTGAACCGATTGTGAGGATGGCAGACATGAGGTTGTCAACCCTATGTCTTGCACCGAAAGGCAGGTGAGAAATGAGCGCAAGGTAGGGTAACAGCCAGGCACTGAACTGCTGCGAAATGTTCGCCCAGTTTGGCTTCTGTGTTCCAGAGCCGCACTGTGAAAGACACGCGTCATAGGTGAATCCGACTGCTGTTAAGATCTCCGAAGACGAGTTTGCTACATTTCCACCAGTGGCATTGACTAATCCGAACGCGTTGAGCGTATGGTTCGCATTATTTCTGAAGTTGATAAAACAGTCAGTAAAGTTGACCGCGGACGCCCCTTTGAGAGACGTGAGCAGTAAAAGTAACAATCGGATCTCTGGGCGAATGGTGAGCAGAAGTCAAGACTAGACATTGGACTCACTCATTGTGTCGCGCATTAGCTGCATCATAGGGCAGAGTGACCCTATGGATTTATATAGTAAGGGAGTTCCCGATACGTAAGCCCCAGAGAACTGGCAATAGACTTAATGTCCAAAAACCGTTGAACATCGTTACACAGAACTCTTTTGTCTAAACCTGGCGATTCGTTACTAACTGATATCTGAACTTTGAAATCATACAGGAACTTACCGTGTCCGGTTTCACCCGACCTCTGAATCAAGTGAGAACGTTCACTTCAAAGTCAGGAATTTCGCAAATACCATACCTATGATTGACACAATAAGTCTAATGATCTAGATAGACATACTCCAACCGCTGCCTTCGAGGAAAACCAGGCATGCAGTTCGAAGCAAAGCAAGGAGCTTCGTGCCTGTGACTATCATGCATATGTGGGGGTTGTGGATTGGTTGAAGATTGAACCAGACTTGGTCGACACCGCAAGATTGTTTAGATAGCGGGTTACAGATATGCATCTACAGTACATGGAAGGAATCGGCCCAAGATTGAGCGTTTTACGTGGCATGCACTCCCGATCCGCAGTGCATTGCTTGTTGTGCAGAACCAACGAGTGTAATAGTGTATGCATCGAAGCTCTGGCCCGCTGACAAGGGAGACAGCCCATCTCAGTGGTAAGGCCTGAATATTGAATCCTGATGCTGCATGCATTGATGGTTTGGGTCAGAATCGTCAGATTGAGGCTTGTCAGATTGACCCGTGATCCGAATGATATCCGAAATTTTCAGCACACAATATTACATAATATTTTTCTAGAAGTTAGTACCATTATATCTATTACGCACTGCCAGGCAGTACTTCGTTCTTTCAGTCACTCGCGTCGGTATCTCGCCACCCTCAGTCTAATGGCTGAACAATCACGGTACTTTGTCACGCATGTTGCATCAAGCGCATCCATCATGATCATCCATGGCACCATTGGCACGTAGATTCAGACATCCCACGAATTTTGTTCTGAATGTCACGGTGGAACAGGGAATCAAACCAAAAAACTATGCCTCAGTGAACGTTCTAAATCTCACAACTTGACGAGTCATTTTGTTATCGACCGTCGATTCGAGAACGATATCTGCTGTGAAAATTGTCCTCACACCTCTTGAGTCTTTGAAGCCACGTTTCCCAGCATCCATACATACGGACAACCGTTCAAGCTCCCAGAAATATTCCGTGTTTCCCAGCGTATATGAATGGATGGTCGACCAATCTCCACAATATTCCGCATCTTCCAGCATACGGATAGTCATCTAATCTCCACGAAGAATAGCACGGCATTCGGGCTAAATCATTACACATTGCAAGATACTCCTCGCTCACTTCACAGGCTCCCCCTCGCATGTCGATGGTTTTTTCATTCCCTGTTCCGCACGAGGCACTATCATTGTGCGTGAATTGGGATTTTTATGTGGATCGACATAGGCTTCATAGAGTTTTGCCGCGACTTCCCTTGTTCAGTGTTTGCCCCTCTTGATCGAGAGGTAACTGCGATTCTCCGTTGATCGCGACACGAGCAAGGACTATGTAGACGTCTTGTAAAAAAAATTGCATTTGGTCTCGAAACGTCAAATTTCAAATGCCGGGACTGCGGTGACGAAAGGTGAAGGGAGCGTGGGAAGGAGACACGTTCTGTGAACTGCTCGATATTGTAACCATGATCTTTGAAGCAGCGTAGACGTCTCTACTTCCAAGCTGTGTAGGACCAGGTGTCTAGCTAGGGGAGTGCTGTAAGATGTGCGTACAAATCATGCATTTTTCGGCTTAACACTGTAACAGATCACATATTACCCCTCCGCCGCCGAAGGTGAGACGAGTTCCATGGAAATTTTACCTTTAACACGTTATCTAATGGTGGTATGCTCCCCCAGGTTAATATCGGTGATGAGAGTTGACTCGCACATTTACTGTTACATCATGACCATGGCTGGAGAGTACGGAGTATCTCTGCCGGTTCCGTGGATGCTGCTCGTATGAGTACTGATGCACGACAGATGTCTCTTCTCAGCCCCACCTGGCGGGAGTCCTTCGACACAGTGGTGTTTTTCCTAGGCGCCTCTCGCGCGCAAGCAATATATCCTGGTCCTCGTAGAACCAATCCGTGATTGCCCCACTTACTATGGTCTCTGCAATACTCCCGTTCCTTGTGTTAATGAGGTGCGCTGCGCTTCATGGACTCACTTTAGGATTTGACACATACACAAATTGCATCCTCGCTCTTGAGACCCTTTCTTTTCTAGTAGTCTGTGTACTTGCAGACACTTGCACCAAGCGAACGCCAACAACACAGATGCAAGTGACTTTTTGTTGCCACGATACTTTCTCCCTCCATATTTGTAAATAATTCATACCAGAGCAGTGGTATCCTACAATGACTTTGTGGAGTTCCACAGCTGTTTCGTCGGTGCACTCTCACATGCAGCCACATCTCTGGTATATTGTTCATGTGCTACGACGCTTTATCTTGTCGCCACTTTTCCACTGGTGCTTAGGTCTCCACATTCCTACCTTCCGCATTTTTCCACTACGTTTGTATCGTATAAGACGCCATGTTTTATCACCACTCACTCATCATCTCCCACCGCTTAAAGTTTTCAGCAGTCAGTTTTCATCGCTCAAAGTCCTACTCTTCTCCTTACATCTTTCATTTCTACTCGAATCATGGAACAAGTGTGTTCAAACCTAAAGTGCTCTGCAGTCATCCCGATCCCGGAGGTATGGTTTTCCTGTTCTGCTGTTGTCTCGATTCACATTTCTTCGTGTACAGGGTCAAGAAGTAGCAATGTTCGACCGCAAGTCAATTTGCGAAAAGTGCTATGGCAAACCGATTTGCGCAAAGTGCGACCGTTTGTTGCACGTAAGATGATTCTCTTTTGGTCTCCGGATATTATGCTGATCTAGATTTCACCTGCAGGCGCCGCTCCCGATTATCCCCGCAAGACAAATTGTGCCAGTAAGTGTTTGACTTTCCCTTCATTTTGTCGCTAGAGTACTGACCCCTACAAAAGGTATATGAAGAACCAGAGGCTTGCCAGATTGAAGCAATTCACACGTATCTCCCGAGACCCAAGCAGGGCTACGTGATCAGGCGTGCACAAGTCCCCGACGGGGAGGGTGGTATGCGGTACGAGTACATTTCTTGCCGTGTGGAACGGCACACCCACGCCAAGCTGGTGAGCCCTGTCAAAAAGTTATTTCATTTTACTCAGCGGGGCTCTTAGAACTAGGAGACCAATTGTCTGCTGAATGTTTGCACCGATTATTAACCATTCTGGACCGTATTTTTATGTCTACTTATTATGTATGCATAACACTATACAACCTTATATCTAACTAAAGTTCATTGTGTACTATGATCTTGCGCATATTCTCCTCTGGACCACCCTTTATATCTGCCATGGGCTCACAAGTATGGTCCGCATAGCATAATATTTCAGAACATTGAGAGGAAGACAGATGCGCAGGAACGGGGCTAGTTGACACCGTATCACACCTCGTTCTGTCGGACTGAGTTCAAACAATGTGGGTTCTCATGTAAGACGAGAACAGCTCGATCTCGTTGGTGTCCAGGAGCAGTGGCAACTTCCACGTGCACAATGGTATCGTTTGATCATACGACAACAAAAACCTTGTATGGTAACGCGAATCACCATACAGCAAGTTGACCCTCGACAGCATACTTCTTTTAAAGAAATGTTCAAACTATGCAAGGAATATACTTAAATTTATATCGCATCATCACAACATCGTCATGTGTAACATACAAAGCCCCAATTTACCGTCCAGAACGGACCAGAAAGTCGAGATGACACCTGGGTGTTTTAAATGGCGCCGAAGTCTCGCAAAATAAAAGGTTATTATCTACTGTCAAAAATCATTCGTGAGAACACAAGTAGGACACATACCTGCAAAGTTATTGCTACTGCTGCCCGAGTGAAACGACAGATTCGAAGAGGGAGTGATATTCTGATGTGCCAGTGGTTAGCATATTTTGGTGGTTAGCTAAACGGCAATTGCTGATGGATAGTAATTACTGGGAGTGGACTGAACAGGAGAAGAAAGGGATAAGAAAAACTAGCTGGGCGTCGATAACTCGGAAAATTAGGGATAGCCTTGCGTCAGTCTTGAGCTCGCGATAGCTAGCAGCGGTTGAAACATAAAAAATTGGTAGGATCCGACCTCATTCCATGTTTCAACCAGAACAGAGATCTGTGGGTACGTACAAACGAATGCTTGGACGACAATAATGCTGGATTGGTGCTGACTCGCAGAGACCACATACATAATAGAATATGTTGTGCTTCACCAGGACGGCGTGTGTATTGTTGTTGGACGCTCGCCACCAGGTTTGGACGACACGTATGAGCGTCAAGGAAACAAGTCCTGGGGGGAGTGTCAGTCATCGCGTCTAATGTAATGAATGCTTCAAGTTCCCGGTGACATACCCAGTTGAAAGATAAACGAGAGAAGAAATGGCAAGAAGAATTGGACGCGGGTTGAGCTCCGGTAGCAGCCTGTGATACCTGGGATCGCGCTAGTCGTGACTGTGAGGTGGAGTGAATGCGTGCGAATAGAAGTGAGGGAAGGTGAAAGCACAAACCATAAGAAGTAACGATCGCGCCAAAACAAATGCCGATGAACGATGCCATGACAGCCTGGCTGATCGATTAACCATGAAATCAATGTTGAGGGCATGGGACTCACAAAAAGGGCGGATAGCATGGCTACAAGTACGATCTTATTACTGTTCCAAAGCGCATATGTCCTGAGCACAAAAAAGCCTGGAGGAATCGGATCAGAAGCACGTGTATGTCGTGGATGAAGGAGAGATACATTCAGAGCAAGTGAGTGATATCACTGCGGAACCTGTGAAAGGAAAGAGCAGCGCTCGGTAAGGACGTGCGTATAGCATGTGCCGTGCACATACCTGAGTAAATATCGATCAGCATCATTCGCCGGCGGGTAGGTAATTTCGCTGCATATTTACATACTTTTGAGTTCTCGTTCGGGGAGAAATCCAGTTAAACAAAACACGTCAACTCAATGGCCGCCATGGGAGGGACGTATGCCGAATTGAACGCACGAAGTATGCCCAATATGACAAATACAAAGTGACATGCCGTGCAATGATATAAAGGACTTTTACTTTATGCCAGCGCGGCCGACACAGGAACATCCACTTTAAACAGCATGTGATCAACATTTGAAGCGAGACACAAGCACATCACCTCTTCTTGAAGTGAACAAACATAATCATAGGCCCAGATAAGCAAGTTTAACGGCGGACAGGAAGAGTTCAGAACAAGCTTACCCAGAATGTCGCCATCGACGCCGAGCTGTCACGTTAGATGACGGAACAAAGCAGTTCAAACGACACGTACTGCACATGTACTAGTGACCCATAGCATGTCTGTCATTGTCTTGTCATCGTGTTAAGAAAGCGACGCACCGCTAAGTACTGCAGACTCTTGGCCGCTGCGATCTCGTCAGCTGAATATTCCATCTTCATTTGTTCGAGGTAAAAAAAAAAAAAGGGCTTTACGCGCTCATCATGCATCTTCTTAAGTATCTCGTCTTTGAACCCACCTTAGTCTAAACCTTACTGATGTACTAAGGACACCATTCGGCTTAGCCTGTCAATGACCGTCTTGATCGGGGCTGTTAAACTTGATAAAAGTTCCAGGACCTAGATCTGAATAGGTACTAGTCTAACCATTTTACCCGTACCTCTGTGTATGGAGGCAGCCGTAAGGCCTTGGTTTTGGTTTTGTACAGAGGTTCTCGCGACTGCTATTACTAGTAGTAGTCTACCGCCGGAATGTCCCGGCGCCACTGTACGTCATGAGCGAGTGCTCGCTTCCCACATTCATTTCTCTCACCCACGACGTCGAGTTCGCCGTAACTCGCACCTCCTCACCCACACCTACAGTTTTTCTTTAGACATCTTTTTTTAGTATGGTCGAGCACCTCAGTATTGGGCTCAGTAGCAGAGCCCCAGCTACTCATCAATCAACCCATGGCGCCGTCCCACTCAATTCAGGTTCGAATTCACACCCAGCACTATCCGCGAGGCAATCTACCGCGGGCAGTGGAGATACTGTTGTTCTAGGGCTACCAGTCTATGCTGCGCAGCGATCAAACTCACAGGGTACGCAGCTTTCCGTACACCAACGCACTCGGCTTTCCACCGCGCAAGCTGCGCACTTAATTCGGTACTTCGCATATTGTCCGTGCAACTAACAGCAGTACGGCTAGCAGCTGCTCAGCCCTAGATTAATCATGCTCCCACGGATGAGATCGGTGCTCTGAAGGCACAAATTACCGAGCTCGAGCACAGGAAGCCGGCAACCGTTTACCTGCCGGAGCACTTGTTCTTCATCAAACTTTGATAACAGACCCTGGAGCTGTCGAACGGCACCTGAGCGAGTCTGGCCAGTGACAAGGTCGAGTCTAAACGAGCCACCTTGCCTGCCCTCCGACCAAGAAACAAAGTTAGTCCGATCTGCATATGGGGTACCTGAACAATTTTTAGAAGCTCTTTTCCTTTGATGTGTTGCAGAGTCCCTTAAAGAGCAGAGCCTTGTGGCATTGCGTTTCTTGTGACCATCGCCATCACGCCCTGATGCGGTCATTACATAAAACAATGGTAGTAAATGGAAACACAGCAATCGTAAATGAGAAAGCAGATTCGTCCACCAGGCTATAGAGGTAGGTACTGTGCTAGGTCAGCATATGTTTCACCACGGTTAGGGTAGGTTAGTAAGGGGGTGACCTTGTCTTGTTCTCTGAGGTTCACCTGGGGTAGGGTGCCCCTAGGGATGAGCTACGACACGATCAAGGTTAAATGCGAGGCGTCAGGTGCCTACAATTGGTTAGTCGCTGTCCTGTGCAAGACACAAAAAATATAGTATGATCCGCAAGAGCCTATTTCATCTATGAGCTTGATCTGCAGTAAAAGAGATTTACGTTCGTGAATAGAGTGAGCGCGGTGGGATGAAAACCCAGAACATATTGCAACGCGCAGGAGTTTTTATGGTTAATCATGAATATCTACAAACAGTTTATGTAGCGCCAGCTCTGCGATATGAGTCAAGATTCAAAACAGAGAGGGTACTCATGGACCAGTCATCTCGTAGGTCAACCCTTGTTTCATGAACGATGCCAAATAAGCCAAACCACGCTATAAGACTTCACACCGTAATGACCGTACGATCTGCAGATGCAGATGACATGTCGGACATGGAAATACACGTGAAGATCTCGGGGCTATACGCGTGGCGGTCGATATGCCAGAGATGGAGGTGCATGCGCGTGGCGAGAAGCGCAAGGACAAAGGCCTCCAAACTGGATGTGCGTATGCGAGGGTGCTGTCAGTAGAAATTGGCAATATAAGTTGGAAATGCATACTCTTCGAGGAGGGAGTAATATACAGCCTGTGTGTGCGGAATATCAGTGACACGATCATATCGAAGGGACGTTTACGCACATCAGAAAACATTATTGGCGCAAGGACATTCACAGCCGAGAGAACTTTCGAGACAACGGTCATCATTAATGAGGACAGAGAGATATGAGGGTGCTGACTCACACAGACCGCACGCATAGTAAAATATGTTGTGCTTCACCAGAACGGCGTAAATATCGCTGTTGGACGTTCGCCAGGTTTGGACGACACGTATGAGTGTCAAGGAGACAAGTCCTGGAGGGAGCGTCAGTCATCGCGTCTGATATAATGTATACTCCAAGTTCCCAATGACATACCCAGTTGAAAGATAAACAAGAGAAGAAATGGCAGGAAAAATTGGACGCGGGTTGAACTCCGGTAGCAGCCTGTGATACCTGGGATCGCGCTGGTCGTGACTGTGAGGTGAAGTGAATGCGTGCGAATAGAAGTGAGGAAAGGTGAGAGTACAAACCATAAGAAGTAACGATCGCGCTAAAACAAATGCCGATGAACGATGCCATGACAGCCTGGCTGATCGATTAACCATGAAATCGATGTTGAGGGTATGGGACTCACAAAAAGGGCAGATAGCATGGCTACAAGTACGATCTTATTACTGTTCCAAAGCGCATATGTCCTGAGCACAAAAAAGCCTGGAGGAATCGGATCAGAAGCACGTGTATGTCGTGGATGAAGGAGAGATACATTCAGAGCAAGCGAGTGATATCACTCCGAAACCTGTAAGAAATCGCAACGCTCAGCAAGGACGTGCATGTAGCAAGCACCGTACACATACTTGAGTAAATGTAGACCAGTATCTTGCATTTCTGGCGATGTCATGCAGTCAGTGTCATTCATCGGCGGGCAAGTAACCCCGCTGCATATTCACATACTCTGGTGTTCTCATTCGGGGCGAAATTCACTGAAACACAACATGTCAATTCAATATTGGGGGATGTATGCCAGGATTGAACGCACGAAATATGTCCGTGATGACGAATAGAAAGGGGACATATCGCGCAATGATATAAAGGACTTTTACCTTAGTCCAGCGCGACTGATGCAGGAACGTCCACTTTGAACAGCATGCTATCAATATTTGAACCGAGGCGTATCGTAACACAAGCGCATCACCTCTTCGTGAAGTGAACAAATATAATCATAAGTCTGGATAAGCGAGTTTAACGGCGGACGGGAAGAGATCGGAACAAGCTTACCCAGAATGTCGCTATCGACGCTGAGCCATCACGTTAGAACGAGGAACAAGCAATTCAAATAACACGTACTGCATATGTACTAGTGACCCATGGCATGTCTGTTATTGTCTTGTCATCGTATTAAGAAAGCGACGCACCCCCAAGTACTGCAGACTTTTGGCCGCTTCGATCTCGTCAGCTGAATATACCATGTGCATTCGTTCGAGGTGAAAAAGGGCGTTACGCGCTCATAATGCAGCTTCTTAAGTATCTCTTTTGAATAAGCTTCGAAATGGGGTCTGAACGTTCTGAACCTTAATTCAAGGACACCATTCGGTTTACCAGCTTTGATCGGGGCATGCCGCGTTCCATTAGCTGATTTAAAGTTGACGTGATCACAGGCCGCACCAGGTGGAGGCTAACCTGATGGAAGTTACAGCTGGGTTTCAGTAGTTTTACTGTATAAGTACTCTAGAGGGGACGTAAGACACTTACCATATTCAATTAAGTTTGAACGTGGCACAGGTTGACTCGCCTCAGCTCAGTTCATTGTGTCGACCTCTTTTAGATCAACTCTAGCCATTTCGGTCCTCGGATATACCGTGGTTCTTCGGAGCATGATGAGGTTAACGCGCGCAATGATGATATCTCGTCACTTTTTAGGGTTGACTCGCACCTGGACCCTGGATTGAATCTCGTCGAGTCATCAAGAAGATTGATGCTAAGGGTAAAGATGCGGTAACAGGAAACGAACAGTAGTAAGCCAGCGAGGTGCACGACAGTCATAACGGTTGAACATGTTCGAGGAACCTCGCCGAAAGTTTCGAAGCGCGTGTAGATAAATAAAACGGTATCGGCGGAGGCGTCCCTTTCTTTACCAGTCATGAGGGTGTTATGTAAAATAGAATGAATAATTAACTGATGGACCTCCTCGACACACCGGTGACCCCGACTCGGCGCTTGCATTAGTCGACTTGGATAATTAGTGAATGAGTTTATACATATTTGGTTATTATAAACGCAATTGATGTATGGTAAGAACGAAAAAATCGGATATAACAATGCATATGTGCATGAAATACGAATGCGTGCTGGAAAGTATCCCGTGAAAGTCAACGAGTAGTCGTAGCCATCAAGCGCAGGAGCGACAACTAACGTCAAAAATAATCAAGGAAAAGAGGGTCTGAGATCATGACGACGACGACGACAATGTACTTTACACATACGTATGATCATCCAAACTTAAGTGGTGTCCGTCGAAACGTGAGTGTAAAACGTGGTGCAGCATTACAAATTCAACTTCAAATATGGTCTTTTTGAAACCCTGCGCGCAATCAGTCTACTGCCTTATAGACTCATACGCAGGGGGAACATCTCTCTGTTCTCCGGCTTCTTCTTCACTATGGGCTCGTCCCGCATCTTGATGCTGAACAACGCCAGACCCCTCCCCGTCGACTTCTTGTTGGGTAGCGAGGCTCAGGCCTTGACGGCCAGCAGCAGCTTCTCTCTCCTTCATTGCCCGGCTGCTGGAGGAGGTGTTGCTGACGCTTGGGGCGGGTGATGTAAGCGGGAGTGGGTTGTGCCAGTCTGCTTGTTGCATTGCGTACATGTTGGGTGCTCCTTGAGGATACTGGCCCGGGCCTGGGCGTATGAACCCCTGAGAGGGGTATCCCTCACTGGGAGAAGTGACGGTGTCGCTGTATTGGGAGGGAGAGCTGAGTGGGGAGGTTGTGCGGTTGATAGCTGGGACGGCAGCTGCGGCGGGACCCGCAGCTAAGAAGGGACTTTCTCCGTATTGCCGCATACTTCCGGCATGGTCAGGGTAGGGGGTGATCTCGGTTTCATCGCCAAGGTCTACTTGGGGGAGTGTTCCGCCACCTGAGGGGTGGGAAACGACACGATCGGGGTCAAAGTTGCCGTCGAACTCGTCTCGCCTTCTGCGACGACGTAAGCAGAAGAAGAGGAGCCCGAAGATGACGATTAAGGCGATACCACCGACGACGCCACCTACGATTGCGCCGGTGTTTGATGAGTTGTTTGTAGTAGTAGGAGAGGTTGTTGAGACAGGGATTGAGGTTGTCGTGGATATCTCCGTTGTGACAACGATTGTTGATCCGTAAGAATTTATTGAGCTAGTTGATGGGGTAAATGACTATGGAAGAAATGAGATAAGAGTGGACAAACGTAAGGGTGACGGGTACTGTAGTAGCGACGGATGTCATGGAGGTTGTGGTTGGAGTTGTACTAGTGGCGGAAGGGGTAGTTGAAGTTTGTCCATTGCTGTTTGTGGTTGCAGGTGTGGATGATGTAGGAGTTGTAGTTGGTGTTGATGATGATACTGGAGTTGATTGGGATGTCGATGTTGGTGTTGTTGACGTTGATGTCGGAGTAGTAGTAGTAGCTACAGATGATCAATTAGTGATGTTTGTACATTTATTAGGATACGAAAGGGGAGAAGAAATACTTGGTGTTGTAGGAGTAGGAGTAGTAGTAGGTGGAGTTGTTGTAGGCGTCGGTGTTGTTACTGCGGGCGATGTCGTCGGCACTGGTGCAGACGACATGATGGCAAGAAGGAAAAAATCGGATATTGGAGTTGGAGCCTGTTTTAGGAGAGAGACTATAAAAGTATCATACGGAAAAACGTTTGCTCAAGAACTGCGCAGCCAACACGAGGAACAAGGTTTTTAACACGTAACTTGCATTTATTCAGCCCAACCATTCAATCTCCGACTTCATGCCAATGCCCGTGTCTCAAGTCTGCCATCCATGCCCGTCTCCATGCACATGTGGTACCATACCTTTTCTCCGTCTCATCTCGTAAAATCAAAACTTCGTTCCCCAGAATTAAGGCCCACATCTGATACCCTCGAACTGCCTTGCCTATTATTGTAGCCAAATTGCAGCCGGAATTTCCACGTCGCGCACAACTGACGTCCCGTCTGTCCTTGTTGTCCCAATGCCGACTTCTCTCTTTCGATTCCACCACCGTGATTCTCACCGACACCCACGGCCCCAAGACCTCGTGTGAGTAAACATCCAAATAAACTAACTTTAGTCGGGTTTGCCCAAGCGTATTTAGAAACAACTCCTCAAATCCGCTTTTCAAACTATAAATTTCACCCCACATCGCTACATCATTCCCCCAACCCTCCGCTTTCTCCCCGCGAGAAGTTTCCAAAATGGGCATGATGTGTCCTACTGACGTTCAGATAGTATCCAATAATTGGCTTCTGGATCGCCTGCAGCTCTTCAAGTACGTACGTACTAACACGAGTAACAACCCGATATATCTTGCTATCCCGCCAGTACCTGCATCATCGCGAACGAACTGACAATATGTCGTTGATTCGGTCAACTTGTGACTTGTCGGTTTGTGTGGGATACTTCTCTCGAGAAGAAGACACCAGTCCATGACGTCACCGGGAGGACCACGGCATATCCTTTCCACAGGTACCCGCTGCGTATGCGCCAAGAAGGAAGCCAAGTAATTTCATAGAATTCAGGATCCTGGATTCGTTATAAGTCTACTTACTTGTAATCGATGAGTGGCCTTCCAATCGATGTGTGCATCCTCATGCAATAATACTTGTCCTGCACTTGTACAAGCTGCGATTCTCATCCCTCCACATCCCCTGATTTGGTAGAATATTTCGCAGGAGATCGGCCCTCGCGGCCCTGTTTCCAGGTTCGCTGTTCCGACTAATTTTGCACATCTTATGAGTGATACATGCGTGATAAACAATCACCCAGACACAATCGCAAAGGTTACATAGGCGAATGTCTGAAGCGTGCACATCCCCTTGCCGTCAAGTGCTTTGATAGCTAAATAGGCAATACATCATCTGTACAAACTCGTGGCTACTCCGAGCTCAATTGGGTAGTGCAGCAGATGTTGCTACTGTCCCGACCTTTGGCACCTCGTCAACAAGACATGGTGGTCATGCACCTTGAAGCATCTTGACACCACATTCCGGCTTATCTTGTTGAGTCTCGCATTCACTGTCCTGATCGGCTACTAAAAGACAAAGCAGATCCTCTTACATTTCTGCTGCTTCTGCTGTGATTGCATGAGCGGAGCGGTAGTGGGCTTCGTTATTACACCACCCACTCACTCGTTGGGGAAGCGCCTATGAGTGAAATTCAATTATACTCGCAAAATCTATCTCTGGAAATTGACTCCTCGAGACTATCACGACGGAGTCACCTGCTTTCGTCTCACCCGAGCGTTGAGTCAGAGTACGTGGTAGTGCCGGTGGAAAAGTCTGTCAGTTACCAGATTCGCAGCAGGGCAGACACAGGGTGAGACCATATTTTCGTAACATGAAGGGTACTTGACATTTATTGACGTTGACTTCCCATGACGCAGCTGCTTGATACGCACAAAGGACTCGGAGGGGCATCGCCGTGTAGGCAGTGCTATATTGTCTCAGACTCATGATGTCTTCATTTTTAATTTTTGGGACTTTTCACTCACCAGACGATCGACGATCAGTATGCTTGAATGTCCGTTTATGTATGAGATCTCCAGTCAGTGGTCGATCAGATGGTCATTGCATTTACGAGATTCATATGGAATGATACACGGTGCCCTCCCAGACCCTGCACCATGCAATAAACAATAACCTAAAAATCGATCCTGAAGTCCTCCATCTCTTGCGTCACATAAGTATTTCATATGCACGATGATAAGTGTATAGTTACAAATGGAGTGTCAGATCTAATGAGCTATAAACACATAGAATACAAGACAGTAAGCAGATATTTCAAACAGGCACATCTTCGCCGTATTCTCGAGAACTTGGTTCCTCGACCGCCGAGTCGGGGGCTTGCATCTCACGGAGCGCAAAAAACCGTGCTACCTTGCTTCGCATAGAAATAGGCACGCCCCAGGCCTTGATATACTCCTTTATCTCCTGAGGGGTTGGCTTTTGTTCCCTGTGTGGCGTTGATTAGTTTGCAGGAACAGCGTATATCAACCAACTTACTCAGCCAAGCTTCGTGCAAAATCCATAATAGTATCAATGTCCGTTCCTATGAGCATCATTAGCACTGCGTCAGGTCATCCAGTGTTAGACATGACATTACCATCGAGTTCGTACCAAGAGATCTTCTCGATCTCCCGAAGGAAGGTCACCGTCTCAGTATCCCTCCCGATAGGGACGGATGCGTCCTTGCCGCTAGAGATAGCTTCCGCCAAATCATCTCGGCCGAAGAGTTGTAGCCAACGTCGGCGACGCGCTGCCAGATCGAGATCAGGCAATCTGATGGCTGCAACAGGGAAAAGTTAGTGATCTAGTCGGGTCAGATAGCTGGGTACGCACTGGCTGAGAATGACGTGAGTAGTGCCTGCTGCTCGTCTGACAACACCACGGGCCACAGACAGACACATCCGGGCTTCTCAAATTCTTTAACCATAAAATCGATACGTTCCTGATGAAGAATTAGCTCTACTATTACGGCATTGACGGTACAACGCCGAGGAACATACTCTACCAATTGGAGATCCAACACTCATGAAATACTGTGCGACGTGTGTTCAGAAGGGATATAATGGACGATTTGATAGACAATACTTACATCCCCGCGGTGTACAACCACTACCGCCTTCCACTCGACCGCAAGCTAAGCAATTACCACGTTGAGCCAGAGATGTATTACGGCCTGGGGATGGTACATCCCGATGCTAGTTTGGCGGCCCAAGGTTGCACTGTGGCAGTGTCGCATGTCCGTGGGATGTCACTCGCCCGAATATCAAGCATCGGACGCTTGAGGATGTTGCAGATCGCACGAGCAACTGTCTTTCTGCCCGTTCCTATGGCCCCTCTCAGCAAGATATTCTATAAAAAGTAGAGGTCAACGAGAGTGATGCAGGAGTGTCGCTTCAAAACACACCATGCCTTTCAACGCTTTCTCTTGCTGTGAACTGTCAAGAGAAGTTCCAATGATATCCTTTATGGATTGGATGAGATCCTGCAACAAACGCGTTAGCTTGCGAGACGACAATTCCAAAGCTACTCCCGCCCGCACCTTAGTTTGTTGGTCCTTGATCAGCCTTTTCCACGCATCTTCATCATAAGCAGACTGATCGCAATTCAAACCCTGCAATGTAACCCATGCCTGGACAACAAGGTTGGTTTGAAGATCAGTAAAAACGTGCAACGTGCTTACGCGTTTTTCGATGTCATATCCTGCAAACCAGGTCAACCGGTCAACAGCGAGTTCCTCCATGTTTTCCAGAGGCAGCTGCGGAAGGTGAACTGTGATTGGGGGCGGGAAGAACATGTCTGATTGAGGTATACGGGGAAGGAGATGGGAGCGGTTTGATGTCGGTGTCAGGGAATCCAAGACGGTTATATATGAGAAAGTGTGGAACTGCGGAATGGAGAACTGTAGAGGGGGTCCATGCAATAATGGGCGAAACAAGAATGGCTTGAGTGTGAGTCAAGGAACAGTAGACAACAACATATTGTGGAACATTAGAAATTGCTGATGAACAATGAATATGGGTTGTGGAAGTATACGATTGTTCCACGGGTCAGGGAGTCCCATGCGAAGCGGCAATGTGCTGAATGTGGTGTTGATGTACTTGTTCGTATGCCCAAATGATATTCGACAACCCTTCGTATGACGGTGAATGAGTTATATCGTGGGAATCCCAATGGTTTGGATTTGCGTTTGCTTTTGTTTCACTGTGCCTATAGGTCTAACAGTTGTGTTTTAGGCGTATCGGCTAGACTGACAACCAACTTGTCTGTAGCAGTACACATCAGCCTGGCCACGAGCCTATGCGTCATCCATAATCTCATTTGAGTACATCTTAATATGGTGTAAAATTAACCCACAGACGTTCGATGTCCCATTGATGAGGCGGGTCGCCATACATAGAAGATGCTCGTGATGACTTTGTCGATAGAATGGCTAACTTGAAGCCCTTTACTTACCATCCACGTGAACATTTCAACACCCACTGTCAGAACTCGAGTGACCTTGCGATTATAGAGGTCCAAAGATCGTCTAGCACGAAGACCTTGGTTGGAACGCCTCGTTTGTATATCAACACTCGGCACTCAAACGGATGCAAACACTGACAGATGCATCCGAAGGTACCCATGGACATTACAGGGCCACGATCTAGTCCTGCCGTACATATTCGTGGGATGATAGGACTTTAATGGCTGATCTATAACGTCTTCTCGAGTCGACACTGATGCATAGGCAAATGCCAGCGGGCATGCACCGGGATGGAACATTCATATTTTTTTGCGCTAATGACCGTAGACGAGTCGAGCGTGAGGATCATGAAACTGGTACGAAGGTAATGTGTAGTGACTCACTTTCAAGTCAGCAAACATGCTGGTGCGGTGCAGGAAAAAGAGGAGGATCGAGGACGTGCTTAGTGTCAAAGACAGTCATCAACAAAAGTAGCACGCCAAAGTTGAAGGGGACATGCGCATCCCACTCCTGGACTTTTGTCACCGAGTCGCACTACTCACTTAGCATAGAGTAAGGCAAAATGTAGAATCCAGTGTATTTCATAATAGAAACAATACGGACAAAAAGTGGAAACAGCAGCGGAGGTTTGGAAGATGTAATGCAGAACTTCACCTCTGGGTATCCTTGAGGCATATGCTTCTACCCTGTCAATAAGGCTTGTGTCGGGTGGCCTTCACAGTTTTTATTGATTCCATCTGGGAAGTATAAAATACTGCATTGACACAAAAACGGACGGGATAAGAGGGTGCTCACTCTGTCCAAATGAAGTCACGGTGGATCCTGTTGGATTGATACACGTAGTACCCCTGGCTCGCAAAGACTAGAGCACACGTGCGTGCACATAGCTCCGAGTCATAGCCCGTATACCCAACAAAACGAAAATATGCACCCATTTGAACCCACAGCGTCAACCTTTGATTAAATGAGGCGCTGGTCTCCAACGAAATCCAGACAAATCGGCGTGTAAAGAGCTTGAAAAAGGGCTATACTAGATTGATCATCGATGCATCGGTAGAAGCGAAAGCACAAGTTGCAGCCTGCAATGCAAAACGGCCGGCAAATTCCGACCATTCTATTCCATCTTGCTACTTACCACCTACACGATGCCTTCCGATCGCAAGCAAGTTGTGGTACTCTATGCGGAGGCGAAGTTGCAAAAATCTATAGACTTACCAGGTAGTCTGACTGTTGCCAGAGCCAAGGAGGAGGGGATGGTGGCAATCAGGGATCACTTGAATACAATTCCCGGTGTACCGCCTGTCTCCCTAGACCCCGACTGTACCGATTTTTACCCAGGTACGTCACTATTACCACGTATTCATGTTATATAGATAAATGTCTGATCCTACTCGATCAGCTACGAAGGACGATAATAGCATTATACGCAGTCTGAAAGGTAATTTAACGATGGTCGTGTACCCGGAGCCTCCTCAAGGACAGCGCTTGACACCCTCGCCCTTTGTCGATGCTCTTCAATCTTCCGTTCATGAAGTGCGCGACGTGAAGGCTCAGCAAAATGCCGCGTTATTGATTAGAGAGGAGAGCGTCAAGTGTAATGTCAAACCAGGTGCTTTTCGTGGCCTTCAAGTTCGTCATCTGTCAGACTAATGTATTCTCAGGTGAAAATGACGTCCTTCTTCGTAGATTAGAGGCAATGGAAGAAAAAATTGGGCGTGACATAGCTGAGCTGAGGCGCGAAAATGCTAAGCTGAAGCACGACGTCAAAGAGCTTGCTGGGCTGAAGTCCAACATCGAAGAGCTGAGGCGGGAAAATGCTGGCCTGAAGCACGACATCAAAGAGCTCAGTGATAAAATGGATCAAAATACTAGAGCTGTTTTGGGCGTTCGTTTTGTGTGTTTTTGTTGTCGTTTTTCACGCTCATGTTTGGGCATTACAGGATAAAGTCGCGATCGATGAGATTCATCGGCAGGGTACTCCTTGACATAGGGTCGACATCAAGTGGTTGTCATCAAGTGGTTGTCATATGTGGACACAAGGACTGTCAACCGTAGGAGATGATGTTTCAGGATTCCAATAACCCGTCAGAATATTGGAAGGCTGTTGGGCAGAATCGCTCAACTCTCCCGTTGCTCATTCATTGTAGCCACGCTAGACCCCACGCAGAAATTGCAGCGCACTCTTCGACAGAGAAGGCTATTGCAGAGTATTCTGGCTCTGACCACTCTGAGGGATAGGACTGATAATTACCATTTTTCGTGCAGTTTACGATAGCTAACCACGATAAGTCTGCGCAACAATTTTTAAATCTGTATCCTAGCGTTTGGAGGACTCGGTACCTCGAGTTATTCAATATGGGAAATGTGTCCCCCAAGTGCACGGATATCCTCCAGGCTTGCAACCATCTGTATTGGGTAAAGGCTCGTCATGCCCCAGAAATCTAAGAGGGTTTGTCTTACTACCTAACGATTCTGACAAACTACCGGTAGATACTGAAAAAATCGAGAAGCCTTGTGCATGTATGGCGTTACGGGAGGAGCGAATTACTGGTGCAGGGTTGTTGTCCTGGGTAAGGTGTGGTTCCACAAGTTTGACGAGATGTCCACTGCGGAAATCAGGAAATCGCTACTAGGATTCAAGTGGCTGGCGTGGAACGAGGACTAACCCTAACTAAGTCGACAAAAAACGACAGAGTATACGAAAACAAGATAGCTAGAGCGCAATAATATGTATCAGCGTCATTTGAACAACATGATGAAAGAGAATCGCAGATCAACAACACGTGAATATGTACTAGACGACAGCAATACGACGTAGAATTACACACCAATATGAACAAAAACTATCCTCTGCTCGAGCGGCACTTTCGTTTTCACCGAGTGCGTAGCACAGTTGAGCGCCCAGGCTGCCTTCGTACAGTCCATGACACCACCATCCTTCAAATCTCCGAACATATACTTATAGAATGCTTCGACGACATGTTTTGCGACGGAGTCGTCGACCTCCCACAACGTGCCAACGACGCTCTTGAAACCCGAAAACTGGAGACCAGCTGCGAGGTGGATCACTTCGTCGGGCGTCTCCTCGTCGCCGACGGCGGTATGACAAGCCGATAAGAACGCGAACTCGGCCTGCGGAACATGTCTCTCCATGATATCGAGCAGCGTCAAATGTTCGTCTCTCATGACAAAATGCGAGTCGTAAGGCTGCGTAGGGTCCTGCTTCCCATGACAAGCAAGGTGCACCCAGGTGTTCTGCTGCAAAGCTGAGAGTGCACCTGCTCGTGTGGCTTCATCGCCAGAAATAGTGGTGCGGTTGGCCGTCGCAGGGACGAGCTTATGGACAAGCTCAAGCTCGCTGTCGACTGCCAAGAGCGCCTTGCCCTTCCCTGCACCCGGTTGACCCTGTCCGATCGCCACGAAGGACGGAGACACGCGCTTCTTCATCAACTGTCTAGACCTAATCAGAGCCGAAAGTGTCGGGGTGTAAGAGCAAATGTAGAGGTCCTCCAGGCATGGCTCCTTCCCAGAACGATCCGCCTTTGTTTGAAACGGATGAGCTGCATGGAGAGGAATGGACGTGAAAGCTGCAGTCGGACACAGCCAGATTCGAGAGCGGCGCTTTACTTTCAGGACGTGTTCGAGTGCGTTGACGATGGGTAGCATGATCTGGTCCCATATTATCCGCGAGAGGACTATGAGATCCGTCCTCGACTCCTTTGGGCTCATCCGAGATGCTTCTCGTATTGCCCTGGCGAAGCGATCCTTGAGAATCTTCAGATCTACGAGACCGATGGACGGCAAAGGAACATGATAGGGATCTCCTGACGTCGGGACGATGATGGCGCTGCACGAGTATTCACTTGCAACGAGGATGATGACCGGTCCCTGGCGCGCTGCCGCTTGCAGATCTTCATACGAAGGTGGAAGCAGGAACCGCGAGAACGCCGGAAGATCGCGTATCTTAGCTATCGCGGCTTCCCATTGCCTTGTAAGTCTCCTATACTCTGTTGCTTCCCGATCAGCAGCAGCTCTGTCAGTTATGGTTGCAGAACTCTGGGCTGCATTGGAAATGAGCTTGCTCAGCTCCAAATAATTGCGCGCCAGTGTCGGATTTGCTGACTCGAGGTCTTCGACTGAAGTCCTGAGCCGAGATGCCAGCGACCACTGCTGGCCACGACCCTGCTCCACAAGTTCAACTGCTTGGCGTAGATCGTTACGACGTATAGCACATGAGGCTGCATCTACAGGCAGTGACCGCGCATGACGAAAGGCGGTTGCAGCCTCGCGCCGTGAAATGATGGACGATCGCGTCATCACGTGGCTGTCAAAAAGCTCCAAGCACATTTGGTATGCTTCTAGGGCAGATTCATGTTGATAGACATCTGCTTGGCGAGCCCAATCAATAGCCTCTGTGATACGTCGAGGAAATCCTTGAGTAGGATGTCTTGATGCGAGTCTGAAGTTCTCTATAGCTAGCGACAAATCAGCAGGGTCATGTAGAATTCGGTAACGAGACAAATAGGCTTCCTGCAGCTGCATGTAGCCAAAATGCCTGCCCGGGTGTAATGAAGACAGAGCCGCCAATGATTGTTGGCAAAGAACAATGGCCTCCTCGACATCTTCATTCTTCTGAGTTTGTGCGAAACGAGAGCAGAGCACCCAGCTCAAACTGCAAAGAGTTATAGAGCGCTCTGGATGGTCAAGCCGCCTTAACCGAAGGGATTCGCGATATAAATCAATGGCCTCGTTGAGATCCTCGCTAACATGCGTTTTGTCGTATCTGGTTTTGAGCGCGAGGGCCAAGTTGTGAAGCATGGTGTCACAACGTGGATGCCCAGGTGGGCGCAACGTCAGTGCCTCGCGACGGAGGCTGATGGCTCGGGTGATGTCACCAATGTCGCCGCGTTTCTTGAAACGTTCGACGAGAACGCCCCCTAGGTTGCCCAATGAGACATCACGATATTGGTGCCCAACAGGATACAGGCGCAACGCTCCTTCGTGCAAAGAGATGGCCTCATCGAGGTCATTATGTTTGCCTTGATGATCGAAGCGTGACGCGAGTGAAAAGGCCAAGTTGTTCAGGTAGGTACCACGGTCAGCATGTCCCTCGGGGCACAGAGACACCGCTTCATGACGAAGCTGTATGCTCGTGTCAAGATCATCGATGCTGCCGTGCTGATCAAAGCGTGCTTGAACTGCTTGTGTAAGCTTGTCGAGGGCTCTCAGACGGAGTTGATGGCCCAGAGGACAGAGCTCGAGGACGACTCTTCGAAACTGGATGCCTTCAGGAGATGCGTCTGTTGGAAGATTGTTGCATCCGCCGATCACATACTCAACACCATTCTTCCCTGCCGCGATGCTACGAAGGTACGTGCCCTCTGCACATAGAGGCAGTAGGTCATGATACAGTTGGGCGGCTTCCCGGATATCGGCGGCAGTGCTTTTCTTGTTGTGGCGCCAAGTGAGCACTTCGGAGAGATTATATAGAGATAAGGGATGATCGGGATGGGGCTGAGGACGCAATGCAAGGGCGTCGCGGATGAGGGAAGTGGTGGCATCGATGTCTTCAAGATCATTTCGGATGTAGCCTGCAAGGCGGGCCCACGCGAGGTTGGTGAGAGCCGTTGCATGATCTGGATGGTTGACCGGACACTGGTCCAGAACTAACTCAAAATGCTTTACAGCGTCGGTCAGGTGAGAGACTGTCTTGCTCGTCACGTATGCGGCAAATTGTGCGTGGCCCGCATCTGTGTCTCGAGCAATCTCGCAGTCTACGAGAGACTGCAGTTTGTGTTCTGTCATCAAAAGCTAACAGGACAGATACTACTAGCTTCACTCACATCAATCAGTGCGTCGTCCTGATCGTCGCAAGCATGTACAATGGCGGCCTTCAGCTTGAGGGAAGGTTTGACACCGAACACGGGCGGGAAGGATATATCTACGAGACGTTAGTGTATGTGCATGAGTGAGAAGCGAATCACTCACCAAATGGCTCGTCTCCATGATCAAGTAGCTCATCCCACGACATCTGAAGTTCGCCGATGACCTCTCCACCGCCTAGCATTCGACCAAGCTCGAAGGGCGCCCTGATCTCCACTGACAACGCATGCGAGGAGCGTGATGATCTATAACCCGATGATCAGTTCTCGCATCGCGTCAGACAGTGTCAATGAACTTTACAGAGTGACAGAATTCCCCCACGTTACAGATCTATCAGATGATAAGACACTGATGGGTGATTTCCAGCGCCTTTGGGAGTCGACATTGATGAATATGTAGATGCCAGCGGGAATGCGAATGGAAGGAACTCGAATATTCTTTCCATTGATGACTGCAGGTCAAGTGTGAGGATAATGAAACAGATACGAAGGTCATGTATAGGGACTCGCCTTCCAGTCTGATATATCGGCTTTCTGAGGTACCAGCCATGATGGTAGATGGAGCAAATTGATGAGGATCGAGGATGGGCTGACATCACTGAAAACCAATCAGCATGATATGACCTTATTTACCTTATAAGGTTGAGCGAATCAGCTTTCCCAATATATGTCTATGTAGTGGCTTGTGAGACGCACATCAGGTGCCTAATCTGTTATCTCTTTTGTCTTCTGCTTTGTCCTTTGTTGGACCATTATTAGCCTATATTAGCTCTCTAGCTAGCTTTCATATTTTTACGCTCTACCATCCAAACCGCCGATCACATTATTGATCTGAAGTCTGTTCTTTATTTCAGCTTTCTTCTGATAAACCATTAGGAGGTTCCAAGCTAGTGTTCTGGCTTCTGCAGTTTTCCATCAAAATTGCATCACAATGTAGGATTTTATATAGCAATTCAGTGTGACTATAGTTTGACAGCGACTTTGGAGACATTGAGATCACGCACTACGAATGTTATAGCTCATCATCTTTTAGCCAGGAGTATTGTAAGCAATAAGAATAATATTGCAACATCATATGCCCATATATCTGCCGCCGCCGTCAGTAGTACTAGTAGTAGTACCAGTGATACTGACAGGGCCCCAAGTTTTCAAGCTCGAAAACATGCACAGTACGATGGAATTCAGGCAAGCAAACACCCTCCATAAGTCATGATGGGATACAAAGTGCTATATACACTACTGTAAGTCCACTGTCCAGCTATACTAATGGGAGGGTGACGGAAAACAGCACTGGAGACAGCCTGACTCTTTGGGCTCGAGCTGGAATGGATTTCTTGAGCCTGATCCGCATGCAAAGTACAAATTGTGTGTAGATGCAGTAATGGTAACCACCTTTTGCATTCAAATATAGGGAATTGTGAGCAAAGCAAGAACATACTGCAAAGAAGTTTACTCACCGGTAATCAACCAGCTGATGAGCGATGATTGGATAAAAATTTGTTGTGCGTTGCGT